GATCGGCCATGAAGGCATCGAGAGGATCGACGTCATCTTCTTCGGCGCCTGCATTTTCGTCAACTTCCATCTTGTCGTCGGCAGGGGCTTCGACAGCAGTTGCCTCTTCCATGGCAGTGTCCTCTTGGTTCTCGTTGGCGATCTCAGCGCGACGCTTCTCAAGTCGAGCTTGAAGCTCCGCATTGTTCTCGTCATCACTGCCGATGTCACTCATTGGAGAGTCCGCGTCGCCGTCGGCTTCGAGCGAGGGTGCCTCGTTGGCGTCGAATTCGGGAAGAGCCTGTAGCTTGCGCTTGCGAGTCGGGCCTTCCTCGTCGAGCAATGCCTTTCTGGAATTCTCTTCCTCGGTCTCAGCAGCAGTCTTGGTCTTGAGACCGAACGAGCCAATGTTACCATTGCCCTTAACAATGGGAACGTCTGTACGTGTAAGCTTGTGGTTCGTGAAAAGAGGGTTTGGGATGAACATACTGCTAGCGTTGGTGACAGTCTTGCCTGCAGGCTTGGCCATGTCTAGAGGACGGGCTGCGGCGGAAGCATCCAGTCTGAAGGTCGACTTCTCGGGCTGCTTCTGCTTGACTTTCTCAGTAGCACTCTTCTGCGGAATGACTTTGGTCTTAGCGGTATCAACAAGCTTCGCCTCAGATGCCGGAGCTGGCGGGGGCGTCGCAGTGACTGACGGGGTTGCAGGGGCAGTGGCAGCTGGCGAAGCACCGGAGCCGGGTGTGTCGGTCTTCTCTTTGAGCAGGCGCTCGGCATTGAGCTTCTTCCACTCAGCCAGCTTTGCAGCGCGGTCTGCAAGCTTGTCCTTGGCCTGTGTCTCGGGGTCTTTCTTCCTGTCGTCGCGCGAGGAGTGATCTAGCCGATCGCGCCTGCTGTCATCGCGTCTGCCGTCATCGCGCCTCCAGCTGTCTGAGCCTGGTGCAGGTGTAGCAGATGAACGGGAACCAGGGCGGCGGGAGGTTGAGCGGCGACGCCGGTCTCTATCACCGTCGCGGTCGCGCCTGTAGCTGTCTCCGCGGTCGGCACGGTCTCCTCGGTCACGGGATCGGTCGCGGCGGCGAGGCGGGGAGCGCGAACGTCGACGGTACGTGTCGCCGCGGTCGCGGTCTCGACGGTCAGGCTCTCGACGGTCAGGCTCTCGACGGTCATCGCGGCGGTCTCGGCGGTCACGGTCGTCTCTGAAGCGGCCCTCGCCATAGCGGTCTCCACGATCTCCGCGGTCGCGGTCGCGGCGCGGGGAATGGCGCCTACGATCGTAGTCAGAGTGGCGCGTCGCCATGGTGAGTCGGTGGAATTACTGCTGCAATCAGTCTAGGGTGGCGTCTTGGCGTAGCAGATGCGGGTGGTGGTTGCAATTGCGTGGGGTAAACAGAGAGTTGGAGTTGCGGAGTTTGCGACAAAGTTGCTGGAGAGTCTCCGAGGATATGCTTGGCTGATGGCAGCCTGGCACGTGCGACGCGCTAAAACCGAAATCTTGGACGCTAGCGATAATTTTTGGGAAGTTGCGACAGTCCGCGGTGAACGTGAGTGAGGAAACATCAAACGCCCAAAATGTCAGTCAACCCGCGCAAGAGAAAGGTAGTGACGCGCCCGGCGCCTGAGCCTAGTGACTCGGAAGGTGAATTGGCCGATGGACTGCTCGAGGGCATCCTGTCGCATTCCGAGGACGACTCGGACGACAGCCAAGATGAAGGCGCCGATACCGATGCTAGCAGCGTGATTGAGGGTCTTTCCGACGAAGATGAAGAGGAGGAGGAAGACAGCGATGCAGAGCAGATTCGTGAGGAAATGCGCAACCTGAATACCTCGGATGTTCCACTGCGCAAGAAGAATGGAGTACCTACACACGAGATGGATCTGGACGTGGGTGGCGCAAATGGGGAACTAGAAGACGATGAAGACCTGAAGCCCAACTACACTGTCACTACCGATGCGCACGGCAACACTCGTTACATCTACAAAGAGATCGACCCGGTCTACGAATCCGACGATTCTGACGCCGAAGCTACCAACACGATCGGCAACATCGACCTCAAGTACTACGATGAATACCCGCATATTGGCTATGATATCAACGGCAAGAAGATCATGCGCCCGGCAAAGGGAGAGGCGCTGGATGCGCTGTTGGACAGCATCGATATACCCAAGGGCTGGACAGGCTTGACGGATCCCCAGACAGGAAAACCGCTGAACCTGTCGCCCGAGGAGCTGGATGTGCTCAAGAGGCTCACAAGGAACGAGATCGTGGAAGATGGTTACGACCCATACCCAGAGATGGTCGCCTACTTCTCTGGCGTCAACACGGAGATCATGCCACTGAGCGCTGCGCCAGAGCCCAAGCGACGATTCATCCCGTCCAAGCACGAAGCGAAGCGCGTCATGAAGATTGTTAAGGCGATTAGGGAAGGCCGCATCAAGCCATACAGGGCACCGGAGGAGCAGGAGGAAGAGCAAGACGTTTTCACCTTTGACGTATGGGCGGACGAGAAGCCCCGACCCGATAACACAATGCACATCCCCGCCCCCAAGCTGCCACCGCCTGGCTACGAAGCGAGTTACCACCCACCGCCCGAGTACCTACCGGATAAGGTTGAGGAGCAGAAGTGGCTGGAGCAAGACGATGAGGAGCGGGAGACAGACTTCCTGCCCAAGAACTACGATGCCTTGCGCAAGGTTCCTGGTTACGAGACATTCGTCAAGGAACGGTTTGAGCGAAGCTTGGATCTCTACTTGGCTCCTCGTATCCGGAGAAACCGACTCAACATCGACCCTGAATCACTGCTACCGAAACTGCCGAACCCTGAAGAGCTCAAGCCTTTCCCGACTACATGCGCAGCGATATACCGCGGACAAGAAGGACGTGTTCGTTGTGTTTCGGTCGATCCCAACGGTATCTTTGTTGCCAGTGGAGGTGACGACGGCTACGTAAGGATCTGGGAGCTATTGACTGGTCGCCAGGTCTGGAACGCAAAGCTACCAGATGAGGAGGCTGTAGATGCCGTACAATGGAGACCCACCAAGGAGACATCTGTAGTAGCTGCTGCTTGTGGCGAGAACGTCTACCTCATCGTACCCTTCACGCTCCTTTCACCGGACATAGAGCAAGCCAGTCGCGAGGTTCTTGACGCCGGTTGGGGTTACGCTGCCTCGAAGCCCACCACAACGACATTCGGCGAGGCACCCAAAGCAATTCCAGGCAAGTGGAGCCGTCCCGGAACCCGCCTGGAGAGCAAGGGCGTTCTCGTCCAAATCGAAGTCCGAGCAGCAGTCAAGATAGTCAACTGGCACCGGAGAGGAGACTACTTCGCCACAGTCTCGCCCCGCGGCCAAAGCACAGCAGTAGCCATCCATACCGTCTCAAAACATCTCACCCAACTTCCCTTCCGCCGCCTCAAGGGTATCGCGCAGACCGCACAATTCCACCCCTCTAAAGCCATCTTCTTCGTCGCCACCCGCAACACCATCCGCAGCTACGATCTCGCCAAGCAGGAACTCGTCAAGATTCTGCAACCAGGTGCTAAATGGATTTCATCCATCGACGTGCACCCCGGTGGTGACAATATCATCGTTGGAACATACGACAAGGTAAGTCCTCCCTATCCAGAAACATCATTAAAGCATATACTAATTTCCTCCAGCGCCTCCTCTGGCACGACCTCGACCTCTCGAACAAACCCTACAAGACCCTCCGTTTCCACAAGGAAGCCATCCGTTCCGTGCGCTTCCACCAAGGCGGCCTCCCCCTCTTCGCCGATACCTCCGACGATGGCACTATCCAGATCTTCCACGGCAAGGTTGTGGGTGACCTCATGGAGAACGCCACAATTGTTCCTTTGAAGGTATTGCGCGGGCACAAGGTCAAGAGCAGGCTGGGTGTTATGGGTCTAGATTGGCATCCGAGGGAGCCCTGGTGTGTGTCGGCTGGTGCGGATGGCACGTTGAGGCTGTGGAGTTAGACATGGGATATGTAATATGCCTCTTTTACATGACTTGCATTCGCATGGCGTTGGAGCAAGGACGGAAAATGTAACAATTCAATGCTTTTGTCCGAATGTTGTGCTCTTTGAGTCACTTCTGGCCTGCAATAGTTTACTGTTGGACGCACCGCTTGAGAAGGCTCCGGGATGTTACACATCCGACTTCTTTGACCATGATCAAATCACCCAAAGCATACCAGGTAGTACGTCATCATGCATCACAAGGCGTGCCATAACGCCAACCCACATGTCACCTTCTGAAAGTACTTGACTATTTACAGCCTTGCCTCTTTCCTAAGGCTTCCTATCTCAGCTTCTTAAAAGATCTTCGAACCTACAAACTCACTCCACATCATCTGCCGATTATACTTACACCACCCATCATGTCTTCATCCATTCCCTCCAGCCCTCTCCTCTGTCTCCCCAAAGAACTACGCTACGAGATCTACGACCATCTCTGCCGCCAGGGACCCAAGCAGAATCGGACTGCGCACCCATATGAGCAATTAACCACCTACATCGACCACATGGCACCAACCGAGCTATCTATAACATGTCGTTTCCTCCGCAACGAGATCCACGCCTACTTCCATTCAAAAGCCACCTTGGGTTTCTACCCACTTTCCCGCTCGTGCATTCCCGATAGCTCGATCAAAGCAATCGCCCTCCGCGCCAGCGCTGGACCTTGGGCCGGATAATTGCTGCGTGTCGTGACAAGTCTGGTGGTGACTGGCTGACTGGAAGCAAGAAGGAATGGTCGCAATCATGGAGAATTTGATTGAGAAGGGCGAATGCGTGGTCGCTGCAAAGCTGTGTGGGTGAAAGATTCTACACTCCCTAGGTGCCCAGATACTACAACTTTCCGAACTATGCAGGTGTGATCAGTCCATATACCTCATGGTTGTCCGAAGCCTTTACCTCATCCAAAGACTTCATGGTGAGGCATCTCAAACTAGCAAGCGCATCATGTATCGTCTCAGTTGCGTCTTCTGTGTGGTTTGTCTTGTGTCTACCCCCACCCATTCACTCATCCCTAAACCACACCAACAACCTCTCATTAAACTTCCTCACCCCCTTGAAAGCCTCCGGCCCATTACAATCCTGGAACTTCGTTAATCCATCAAATATCATCATGAGATCATTGTCAAACCCATCACCTAGCACCCTTCCTCCCTCTTCCCCATCCCCGGGATCCTTCAAATCCACAAAAGCTAGAATAGCTTCCGCATGCGGCACATCATCCAACCCCCGCAAATGTTCCTCCCACTGCCTCCCCGGCGGGCCAAAATATCCTGTTACGCTGCGAAACGCGGCGAGACGGTGACGCATACTCATCCACTTCTCAAATGCGAGATGCAGGCGAAGCGCACTATCGTTGTGATCAGAATGCCAGGCATCAGCGTCGGTGCAGTGAAATTGGTTGAGTAGAAAGTCCATGCGTTCTTCCGCAGCGGAGTCGTAGTTGGTAGGGTCGAAGTTCTTGATGCCATTTAGATAGGAGACGAGTAGTCTGTAGAGTTCGAGACGGTAGATGCGCGTTCGCCGCGTCGTTGGGGATGGGTCGGAGATGAGCGAACGGATTATAGCGTCGGTATATGCATCACTCGATGTATCTTCGTCGATTTGGATGATTTGGCCACTTGGAGGGTAGATGATAGCGTCTACTGCATCGTTTTGCGTTTGTGTGTCTGGTATAACGGAGTCTTGTCTGAGCGGGTTTCGGTAGGTGCCTGATGGGCCGGCGGCGTTGTTGATGTCGTTATCGTACTCGTACTGCATGTCGTCCGCATTAGATGTGGCGATGTCGTTCTGGATTCGCGAGTCTTACGTAGGTTAGCTTGGATGTCTGTTGTTGCTCTTGGGTAGAGAACTTACCGACTTCTCCAAGATTGACCTCTTCCGCATCGACCACCGTTTCCGCGTCTGCGGTTTCTTCACGAGGCGGTGCCCAAGTCGCATCTGAGTCGTATGTGGTTTCTCTTCGTCTTTGAAACGATGAGCGGCCCAGGTTCGGAAACGCAGGAGGGGATATGGGGGATAAAGCGGGAGGAGATATGGGAATCGAGTAGGGATCTCGTGACTGATTAGTGAGGACAGGAATCGTTCGACCGCCCTTTGAAGGCTTCGGGAGCTTCCCAGAAGGTGTCCGTTCGTGGGAATATTGCGCTTTCCTCTTACTTGGTGTTGTGGTCTTATTCACGGAGGTGAAACTGGTGCTTGCAGCATTCCCGTTGGCACTGGTAGCTGTAGTGTCTCTGCGCGGTTCTGGTGTTGGATACATACGTGGTGGCTCTGGCGCTTTAAATGATACGCCTATGATCCTAGGGTTATCAGACTCCGCGAGATCGTCGACGGTATCTTCATTTTGATTATCTTGAGATGGGCTCAAGTCCCGTGTTCGCCCTTTCGCTTTGCCTTTTCGTGGAGTCGCCTTGTACTCTCTGACCACGGTACATATGAGCCAGCATCGGATGTAGAACAGAATACTGAGATGGAGTCAGTTAAGTCGTTTATGAGAACGCATCAAATGCTCACTTCTGGCGGTCTTTCGAGTCGTCCCAGTCCTGCTCCTCGATGCCGTTTCCTTGGGATTCGCCTGACGAGCGTATTTCACCGTCTTCTATACGGCCCCATATCTTTACTCCAAATTCTTGTCCAAGCCGGAGGACATCTTCCGAGAAGGCATTCTCTTCAGCCAGGTAAGTATGGAGTTCTTCAATGGTGCCACGATACGACGTAGCAAACGACTTTGCTATTCCCTCAACCACCCTTTGCAGTTCGTTAGCCTTGTCGGCCTTTTCCTTGTTGACAAAGTACCCGTGTTGCTCATCGTGTAACTTCTCACTGATCAAGCCAAGTGACTCCCAGGCATGCATCGCTTTCTTACGCTTGTTAATACAAGCGTCAACAAACGCTGCACGATCGTCTTGAGAGTTGAGTGGAGGTGCCATAATGAAGTGAGATAGAACGATGAATATGGCATTTCGAAATCGGTTGGAGTGGCGAATATAACCAAAAGCCCCATCAACGCTCTCGTGGAGGCTGCGCGAAACAACCTGTCGTGCATGGCTGAGACTACCCGCGCATAAACGAAGTTGTGGCGTTGTCGATATCCAAAAGCTGAACAAGTTCATGCGATACGCTCACAAAAGTCGCGAAAAGGGTACTGATTTGCGCTGCCCAGTCGCTTGTTAGAACAAGGGACATCTTTCGACTGGTTGCGTTGCTGTTGCCTACCCGACTGTTCGCGGGCTGTGTAGGCGGCGCAGCCTCGCGACGTGCGCCAGAACCCGGCTGCGCATGCCAAATCTTGTCACAGCTCTTTCTTGGAACGAAACCTGATAGATAACGAAATTTGAAATCGTGATTGACCATGTCTTTGGAGATGTCTTTGAATTGTTTCCAGCATCCGTGTTGGGCCAGAGGATGTACGTGGGGTGGGTAACGAAAATGGTCACCAGTAAGAGGTGTGCTCTACGCGCCACTATCCTGGAGTGTGACCGAAGTCGCTACACCTAGACAACGCGATAGGATGAAAACTTCCGACCCCATCATCACCCCAGAAGCCTCGCAGTCAATGCTTGATCAGTCGTTGGCTTCGGTTCAGCCCGCAGCTGACCAACGAGGCGGCTCGGTCCGATGCCGGCCAGTCTCCAGGTACTTGGTAGGTAGAGACTGGTGAACTACGATGGCTTTCCTTTCTAAGCAAGAGGAATCGCTCACAAGATACTTGCGCTATGGCTTTGCGCGCCTTCCTCCACCAAAGTCTGAAGAAGCCTCACGGTCGTACTCGTGTTGTATCCTGTTTGGCGCTCAACCTCGTTCAAGACGTTCCAGATACGCGCCTTTCTTGAGATCCCATGGATATGTTTCGCGGCTAGAACGTTTCAGTGACCGTTTCGTTGTGATCGTAAGATGGTTTGACTATGTGCAGCCGGAAGAATGAATACGTACCATAGAACAGACCATGCGTAGAGAATACCATCAGCGATGGGGGGAAATCTGATATTGCTATGTCGGTAATCTCCATAGCCTGTTCCTGGATCAGGGGAATGTATGCCTCGTCTTGAAGCTCTGGCTCTGCATAGAGCAGAATATGTGTTATGTGATACCCTGAACCCGTTAGATTATGTTGAGCGCTACGTGCGTCTATAAACGTACAAAACGCTGTGGCGGCTGCGGCCGCCACTGGGAAGTATACTTTGCCAAAGCCATCTTCGTCTTTCTCCCCATATGAAATACCAACAAACGTGTCAGAAAGCCCCCTTCGCCACATTTCGATCTCGTGCAGGAAGCTTTGGCGCTGCTCTTTACCTGCTTCAGTTCGTCCATCTGGTCCAAAAATGAGATTGAGAACTCGCGCTAATATCCAAAGCATGTGATTTCCCAAAATATCTTCTCTAGTCTCACCCTCTACCCAGGACACCTCCCATTCTGCAGGGTCTAGTACCAGAGGCTGCTCGCTAGCCATAGCTACAACGATCTCGTGTCGGATATAGATCCAGAAGTTGGCCAGATCAGTGCCGCTTGACTGTGCGGTAACATGTCGTGATTTGATTAGTACTGTCAGGCCTAGGAAGTGTCGCCGATAGTCTTCAGAGCGCAAAGCTCCGTGGATTTCGTAGCTCAAGAGCAGCATACTTGCGGTAAGCGCATGTTCGTGCGAAGGCATGCTCAAAGCTTCTATGAGTAGGCGCAACGATTCGCCATAATGCTTGGAAGCTGTGACTTGCCAAGAAGGATCATGGCTCGAATTGGAAAGGGCTAGATAGTTGGCGGTAAAGGCGCATACACAGTGAAACAGAAGCGGCGATCTGAGGACTAGCTGTGGGATTTTGTGCTGGAAGGTGCTGGCATGATCAAAGATATCCATCCATGTTGCGACGGTGCGTACATAGGTCTGGAGTAAAAAGGCGCTTTCTGGTGTCAAGCGTACCTTCTTCGGACCGTTCGCTTCGTCGGAACCTGCTGTCGTGACACCATTAGCAGGTATGTAGTTCTGACTTGACAAAGTGTCTTCAGGCAGGTCAAGATCATTCATCCGTGTCCTAAACACGTCAACGAGAAGCGGCGCATCATTGTTTGGTTCGTCCGGTGTTGTATCGACACGGGGAGTGGCCCATACGATCTCCTCGGATAGCTCGCAGTCGAGGTTGAGGCGTTCACAATTCCCACATACTGGCCTTTTCTCATCGCAGCGAGTGTGACGGCGTTTGCAGGTGGCGCTGGAGCGACTCAGTCAGCCAGATGTACAGGTTTTCGCGATGAAAATAGCAGCCAGACGTACCAACCTTGATGGCATTAGCTTATCTCAGCATCGCAGCAGAGTTTCATAGATCACGGCACATACCTGTTCTACTGCGCGGGCCGCCTCTCCGCTTCTTTTTCAATCTTGTATCGCCACTCATTATTGGTTGAGGTGCAGTTGTAGAGTTGTGAGTGGATGGCTACATAGATGCTTTCGGAGATCAGCGATCCGGCAAGTCCAGATCTGCTCTAGTGCGACGCGCCGTGCGCGTATGCGCGACATCCGCCGGGACGCGCATCGCACACGCACATCACATTTGGCAACCTTCACTTCCAAGGTTGCAATGCGGCTGTGTTCCTACTTTGATATATGACCGAGCGAAAGTCAATATATCATCACTAGTTGCAATCGGAGAAGGCCGGTTTCACGATGTCTTCATTGAGCTTTCGTGGGAGGAGCTGGTTGAACGCGCCCTAGGCGAACAAGTCAGTTACCACACGCCACTTCCAAGGGCTTACTAACCTGCCGCAGCTGCTTCTCCACGCCGAATCAGAAGACCGCGCGCATCTTTTCAACATTCTCTGGCCGTTAGGGGATCGAATTCTACATCTGGATAGAAGTGTAATCAGCAACATGGGCTGTGACGAGAAATTCCCCGTGGATACCAGCAGGGGTTTCAGGATGCTCTTGCAGCGCGCCTATACCAGCGATCATCAACCGAAACGACCTTGAATCAATCACATGTTCGTATAGCCACCTCTGACCGAGGATTCGCAGTGCTCCTTGCACCCCACGGCGTGGGGTACGAACGTGCGAAGAGTGTATGCAAAGTTTACGAGAGTCCCCACAGTTGTTCGTGAGTTTCCGAAGTCAATCTGCTCAGCTCGTTCCTCGGAGCCACTCGTTCAGACTACTATGATTCATCATCCCTGCGACCCCTGCCAGATCTGAGGGCTGTGTACTATTCAGCTTCACCAGCTGTCTCTTTGGAGAAGACAGGAGACGTGCAAGGTCCTGCTGGGCACATCTTCGCCTGCCTCAGGGAACATCGAGTTTGCTCTATCCTGGCTATGGTTGTCCTTGGAATGGAACGAGATGTTGCCCGTGAGCGAACAACAGGCCGTTGCAACATCGGCAAAACTCACCCTCGGAGATCAAGATCAGGATCTTTCAGCAGAGTAAGAGAATGGCGCAATGGCGTTCGGCGGATTGTCGCAATCCCGATACGGCAATATTGGCTCCAAAGGGACGAGATCCAGTTAGACATTGGACTAGGATCCTCGCCAGGGGAAGAGCCAACAGGATTTTCCGCTCGACAACGTGGGGTACGAATGGGTGAAGTATGCATGGTTGAGACATCGCGACATCTGGTAAGAATCAGCGAGCCATGACACCTGTCAGGTAGAAAAAGCAAAATGCACACCGGCCTCTAATACCGACCCTGTCCCTGACGGAGATATTTGAGAAAAAACGCATCCAACAGCTGCTAGGAACGGGAGCAGCGGCACGCACGTGGATTTCTCACCGGGAATCTCGCGTTCGAGGCCGCATCGGCCAGCCGGCCCCATCTCCGCATGACTAGCGTAAACCCAATCAGCCTCACGCAACATTGGAAGTCAAGCAAAACGATCGCCCTCAGCGCCACAGTCCCTAGCAACTCCCGGTCGATCATAGGCTTGACCATATGATTTACGCAAGAAGAAAATAATGGAGCGTCATTTTGTGGGACCAAGACAGATGTCAGGTTGCGAAAAGGGTCCAGTTAAGGACTCAAGGATCCCCAATCGAATGATTATTGATCACGTCTTTCTTTCTGCGAACGCGTACGACTCGTTTCGATATCGGTTCCGAACTTCTGTCAAGAATGAGGCTGTTCGCCTGTCTTTTCTTGATGCAGACGTTCGCTGCTCAAGCCCTCCCCCTACAGGTGCGGCAAGAGGATTTTCGGAACTCGAACGTTTTCATCGACAATGGCGAACTTCCACGGGATAGGTCGATCTTCACGATCATATCACTGTTGTGCATGATGGTGTGCTCGCTGTTACTGGGTAAGTTCTTCTTCCGTAACCAATCGATCCCAAGGCTAGACGATCGATGGCCTTTGCAACATGCATCACGCCATCAAATTTGGACCAGTCGTGCGTTCAATTTCTGACACAGACCATAGGTTCGCGGTTCGAGAAACTCAAACGCCGCATTTTGAGAAAGCACCGCCTCATGTCTGCGCTTGTCTTCATGCTATACGTGCTGGTCTTGATGTTCATCATCTGCTCAGCCGTTCTTGTGGCAGGCCAGGGACTCTATACCTACGAGCTCTGCGTTGCGGGTACATGGGTTTGCTTGATCTTCTACACGCTCATCAAAGCTATCATGTAAGTGTGTATCGACGAAACCCGGTCATTCACTAATACATGGCAGCTATATCTTCTTGGTCGAACGCATCCATGTCGTCCGCGCGCCTTTCGTCAATAGGCGAAAAGACAAGATATACCTATGTTGCATGGCCATGATCGTCGTATTGTACGGTACTGTCGCCATCAACTCCTATCTCAATCACGTCACCGAGTTGCACGAATCGGACGGACGCTGCCACTTTGGCATTCGCGGCATCGCATCGATACCGTTTACCGTGGTCAACTTCTTTACGAATATTATCCTGACAGTGGTCTTCTTTTACCTACTCTATCCGGTGGTGGGGTTGCCTGGTGCATCTACTCTTTCCAGGATCTTCAAGAGGAAGTCGAATCAGAATGAAAATACCGTGCATGGAGGACAGGATACGCCAGCTAGGAAGAATATCAAGACACTGCTGTGGAAGAGTATCATCGGGTCGCTCTTGATAGAGATACCAACGGCGGCGAACATGGTACAATTCTTCCTTACCAGGGGCGAAGAGCTGGGCATGATATGCCTTGCGATCTGTTTGGTGGACGTTTGCTGGGATGCTCTTATAATCCACTGGCTTACATTCAATTCTTCGGCGTCGGCGGCAGAGAAGGACTTATCGCGGTCGACATTGGTGTCTGAAGATGAGATCGATCCGATACCGGGACGAGTTCTCTCCCCATTGAGAAGTCGCGAAGAAGCCAAGACCATCACGCAATATACGGCCGAAAAGCCAACAGACCCGCACATGGACGCGTTCGACTTCTCGTGCGAAGGCGCTCGAGACTCGACGGCTGAGCTGATAAAGCCCGCGCCTGTCAAACAATGACGTTACGTAAAATAGTTTTCGTCATCATATCACTCCATCGAAATTGTTTCCATGTACAAACCCATATCAATAACCCGACTTTCCTGGAACTATACCGTAACATGGCCCGTCCTTCCCAAACATCTTCTGTAGATCAGCAACGATCACATCTGGTCTCTCATGCGCGGCGAAATGTCCACCCTTATCGTGAACACTCTCATGCACGAGAGGACCTAGTGCCCAAAGAGTCAGTAAAGACCCCAACCTCATCGTCACAAGGATAACTCACCCAAAGTCTTCGCCCACACCCTCGGCACAACAGTAATCTCCTTAGGAAAGTGCGCAACACCCAACTTCACGCGATCAATCCACGTCGTCGTGCGCTCTCGATTCGGAATCAGATCCGTAGGATTATGTTGCGCTTCGTAGTAGATCCTCACATGCGCATTGGGCCCTGCAGTGCTGAACCAGTACACACTAACCCAATTGAGTACTTCGTCGTCAGTCCAAGGATAGCCGTCCGTCCAATCGATCAACTTCTCGTAGATCCATGCCAACAGCGCCACGGGACTATCAGCGAATGCGTATGAGAGTGTTTGTGGTTTCGTAGACTGCAGCTGGCGATACGCTTGGCCCTCGTTGAGAAACCACTCTGAGCGCTCGATTCCTTTGCTCTCAGCTTCGGTGTAAGGAGTAATGGCGTGCTGCAGAGCAAGTGCAGGCTGCGATTTGAACGTAGGTGCTTGCGCGCGCACCATGTTGATGTGACTCGCGAGCACATAGTCAGGATACAGCAACCCCATCGATCTCGTAATCCAAAAACCCCAATCACCACCCTGCGTAACATATTTCTCGTACCCAAGGTCCTGCATCAACCGATGGCACGTCTCCGCGTATTGCGACAATGCAAAGCCAGGCTTGCTAATCCTCTGACTGAACCCAAAGTTTGGTAGAGACGGCGCAACGACGTGGAATGCGGGTTTCCCTTGTTTCTCGCCAGCTTCAAGGAGTGGAAGTAATTTCGTTACTTCGAGGAAGGAGCCGGGCCAGCCGTGGCTGAAGAGGAGGGGTATGGCGTTGGGGTTTGAACTTCTCTTGTGCACGAAGTGTATGTCGATTTGGCCGAAACCGTCGACTTGGACTTTTTTGCGATAGTTGGGTAGTTCGTTCATTTTGGATTCGGCGTCTCGCCATGAGAAATTGGTTTCCCAGTGTTTTGCTAATCGCTTGATGTCGGAGAGGGGTGAGCCGTAAGGCCATTGATCGGGTGTGTCCAGTTCATCTGGGAAGTCGGCATCTGAGAGCTTGCGTTTGAGCTTTTCGATTGCGGAGTCGGGGACTGATATCGTGTATGGTTCGGGTTCTGAAGCCATGATGATTGTCCAGGAAGGGTTATGAATGTTGAAGTTGGCGATGTTGCAACTGCTCGTCCGCTCTCTAGGTTATGACGACCCCTCTTTTACATCTCAAAGCACGACAGCGCCCTTTGCGCTATCTGTGTACGCCGGGATTGACGTCACGAATTAATTATGTGTGGTTGCCTTGTCTGCTGCAGCGAGTAGTCACCCTTTACAACGCTTACTAATGTCGCGCCTGCAGCATGCACGCGATCTAGACTTCCGCTGGGGTAGTTTTCCTTTTCCAGGATCATGTATATTTCGATCGTGTAAGCGCAGGTCTTGGACCAAGAACTTGTGCTCCTGCTTTGCGCAACTGATGGCCTTGTCACTCAAGCTGAGTGTTTGGTGGTGGGTGAGATGACGCAGCTGGGTATCGCGAACAGTCACTTAGATGTTGAGGGGCTTGTTCTCTTCCAGCAGTATACCTCGCACGATACAAGTGGCTAGCTACCTGTCACAGAACTGTAATGGGAAGAGCTTCAGAGCAACCATGTCCAGCAACAATTATATTTCCCAACAACTGGGCAGATACCTAGGTACTGGATTTTCCGCAGCGTCTGTCCAGTC